TAACTGAAACTCAAGTCGTCATACCGAATGACGACATAGAGGATCCATCAACCTATAAACAGGCGATGAATGATGTGGACCGAGACTAATGGATAAAAGCCATGGACCTCGAAATGGAATTAATGTATTTCAATTCGGTCTGGGTTCTTGTAGATCAGCCAAATGACGTAAACCCAATTAGTTGTAAATGGATCTACAAGAGAAAACGAGACCATGCCGGTAAAGTAGAGACTTTCAAGTCTCGACTTGTGGCAAAGGGTTACACCTAGAGAGAGGGAGTTGACTATGAGGAAACTTTCTCTCCCGTTGCCATGCTAAAGTCGATTAGGATACTCTTATCCATCGCCACTTTTTATGATTATGAAATTTGGCAGATGGATGTCAAGAAAACATTCCTAAATGGAAGTCTTGAAGAGAGTATCTATATGGTCCAACCAGAGGGGTTCATTGAACAGGGCCAAGAACAAAAGATTTGTAAGCTTCAGAGATCCATTTATGGATTGAAGCAAGCATCTCAGTCCTGGAATATAAGATTTGATACTACAATCAAATCTTATGGCTTTGAGCAAAATGTTGATGAACCTTGTGTATACAAGAAAATCGTCAATTTCACTGTAGCATTTCTAGTTTTGTACGTTGATGACATCCTACTCATTTGGAATGATGTAGGTTTTCTGTTTGACGTTAAGAATGGCTAGATAAACAATTCCAAATGAAAGCTTTGGGAAATGTACAACATGTTCTAGGGATCCAAATAGCCGAAACCGAAAGAACAAGACACTAGTCATGTCTCAAGCAACTTATATCGACAAAATGTTGTCTAGATATAAGATACAGAATTTCAAAAGAGGTTTATTACCTTTTAGACATGAAATTCACCTGTCTCAGGAATAGTGTCCTAAAACACCTCAAGAAAATGAGGGGATGAGACATATTCCCTACGCTTCAGCTGTTGGAAGCTTAATGTATGTTATGTTATGTACTAGACCTGACATAAGCTATGCAGTAGGGATAGTCAGTAAATTTCAGTCCAATCCAGGATATGATCATTGGACTGCCGTTAAGAATATCCTCAAATATCATAGGAGAACGAGGAACTATATGCTCGTGTATGGTGGTAAGGATCTAATCCTTACTGGATACATTGACTATGATTTTCAGACTGATAAAGATGCTAGAAAATCTACATCGGGATCAGTGTTCACTCTGAATGAAGGAGCATTAGTGTGGAGAAGTGTAAAGCAAACTTGCATTGCGGACTCGACAATGGAAGCTGAATACTTAGCTGCTTGTGAAGCAGTAAAGGAAGCAGTGTGGCTGAGGAAATTTTTGGCTGATCTGGAAGTCGTTCCAAACATGCATCTACCTATCACTATCTTTTGTGATAATAGTGGAGCAGTTGCAAATTCCAAGGAACCTAGAAGCCATAAGTGCGCAAATCATATTGAGCAGAAATATCATCTCATCAGGGAGATAGTACATCGATGAGATGTGGTTGTCACTCAGATAACCTCGGAAGAGAATCTTGTTGATCCATTTACTAAGGCCCTCTCGGCTAAAGGGTGTGAGGGTCACCTAGAGATTCTAGGACTACAATTTTTGTAAACTAAGACAAGTGAGAGAATAATTAGATGTGTAACTGATGTATGACCGATCTTTTTGTATTTTCTCACTTAAACTCAATAATATGTGCCATTGGAGTTTTAGTCCAAGTTGGAGTTTGTTGGGTTTTATGTCCTAAAACTCATAGTTTGTAAATGCCAGATATACTTTTATCATTCAATAAAGTTGTTATTGAATTTTATAATTAATAAGTAGTTATTGATCCAATAAAATGTTCTTACTAGATCCAAATCCAATAAACTAAGGATCCTAGACTGTTACGTAAGATTAAAACTTTATGTAAAGACATAAATGTGGATCAAGGTTAATAGTCTAAATGGTCCATAGTATAGGAATAAAGTTGCGCGCCTTATTCTGGGGACACTATGGATGCGACCTACTTTGTAGCTAGTACAAACGATGTGATCCTTATTCGTTCATGTGGAAACATGCAAGTGGGGGTGTCCCGTGCAAAGATTTTGCATAAGACCGACCATGAGATAGTCACTTTTACTTTTTAACACCATTTACTGTCTAAAACTAATTATCTCGACTTTGATGGCCTAGGTAACTCAATCTTAATCCTAAGCTAACTATGAACTTCTGTTTACTCGAGATTATCCTTAGATCAGCATGGGTGAGAGCAGCTCAGCAGCGCCGGCTCAATAAGCCTCAAATTTCAGGGGTAAGACCAAGTAGATAGTTAGGGACATAGGGTGCAAGAAGAAATTCACTCCTACCCTCTTCTAGGATAGTAGAAAGGTTGTTCTCTTAGGGGCTGAATCCAAGTCTTGAACAATTGGCGTCACCCTCATCAAAAAGTTTGAGAGGATTTTTTTTATTTGATAGTTGGACTACAAATCATTGTTCATTAGAGGATCAGTGTGACTTAAGGAACAAGAGGTAATTACAGGGTAAAACGGTATTTTAACCCAGCTATAATTACGAACAACTTGTGAAGGGTCGACTTACCGATCATGGTTATATCAAATAGACATAATATTATTGGGATCGGATCCCGCAGCGGAAGCGCTCGAATGCGTGTGCTTCGATCTTGTTTTAGAATTACAACAAAGAAAAGACACGTAAGCATGAATAACAAAAAGTTAGTGATACATACCTTTCAAGACACCTCTTCAATGTAGACACCAACACCACCACAAAGTCTTCCTCGCTATCCTCTGGATATTAAGAACTCGGTTTGTGGGGACCGTCTTATTATTGAAACGAAATTGAGAAATTGAGAGAGAGAAATTTCTCGTTGGAGTTACGGAAACTCAACAACCGAGAACCTTGTGTTCTTCTTGTTGTAGGAAATGAAGGAGAGAATCTCCCTTTTTACAAGGGAGGAAGAATGGTGGGGAAGTCACAACTACCCCACCACCTACCACATTAATGGTGGAATGCGGTAGGTTTTCCTCCCACTTTTCCTTTCTTTTTCTTTTCTTTTGAAATGGGAAAACCTCCCCCACTTTCCACCATTAATGGTGGAATGTGGTAGTTTTTTCTCCCACTTTTCTTTTTTTTTATTTTCTTTTATTTTAACTAAAAAAATTTTAATTAAAATAATTAATTAATTAAAAAAAGAATTATTAATTTAATTTAATTAAATCTAATTTAATTTAACCAAATCAATATATCACATTAATTTAATTAAATCATATTTAATTAAATTAAACTTAAATTAATTAACTATATTATAATCAAATTCTAATTTCAATCTGTCTGAATCAAATTCAAAATTAACTTTATATTATAATGTATCAACATACATTATAATTGCATCTCATGCAATTAACCTTAATTCTCTTTAACTAATTTGAACAATTCAAATTCTTTTCAAGACTAACTGTTCTTAATTATCCTTTACGAGCTAGCAAGGGGACCTAATGGACCTACAGATCGGAAGCTCCAACGAGACGAAATTAATTGATTAAACTCATTAACCATATTAATCAACATTCGGTAACTGTTGGTCACTCCACTAAAGACCCACAGTTGCACTCTTCTCACTGTAGAATATTTTGCGTCTATGGATTTTGACCATTAACAGTAAGTCAATCCTTCACGAGTGTTCGTAATCACAGTTGGGTCAAATTACCGTTCTACCCCTGAGTTACATCTTATGCCTTAAGTACCACTGACCTTTAATGAACAACCCGGTTATGGTTCAACCAATAACCAGAAGTCCCTCTCGGGCTAGTGAGAGGGTGGGGCCCCTTGTTGAAGTTCCGGAGTCAGCACTTAAGAGAACACTCATCTACTTACCCTAAAGTTGGGAAGGAATGAATTTCATCTTGTGTAGTTATGTTCCCAGCTCTCCACTCGGTGTCGTCCTCAAAATGGTAGGCATATTGAGTCGGCGACTCGGGCCACTCTCACCCATACAAATCAAGGGACGAGCCCTAACAGGCAAGAGTCATAACTCACTTAGGATTGAGATTTAGTTACCTGGTCATCCTATTGAAATATTAATCTTTTAGCTAACGGTGTTACAACTAAAGATTGTATATTTCGTGGTCCGGTCTTATACAAACTCATTGTATAGGATACCCCCACTCGTATGTCTCCACACGAACGACTTGGATCAAGTCATTTGTAACTATTACAAAGTGGGCTGTATCCATAGTGTTACCAGGATAAGGTTCCCAACCTTATCCATATACTATAAACCTTTTAGGTTACTACTTGAACATTATCCACTTGTATATCGAATATATACTGTATATATATACTGTATATTAAATATATACTGTATATATATACTGTATATTAAATATATACTGTATATCTGTTATATACTGTTCCAGTTACATCACATAACCTASGATGTTAGTTTATTGGATTTGGGTTAATGCAATTCTATCAATAACAACTTTGTTGAATGAATATTTATTTTATGTTTACAAACCACGAGTTTAGGGCATAAATCCCAACAAATATATCTACAGTGAGGAGAGTGCAACTACGAGCTTTAGTGGAGTGACTCGGTAGTTAACGAATATTGGTTAACTAGGTTAAAGAGTTTAACCGGTARATCTCGGATCGTTGAAGTTCATGATATGTAGGTCCATTAGGTCCCCTGGCTAGCTCATATAGGAATAAACTTGGAATAATCTGAAGGAATAATTCGAATCATTCGAATTAGGTTAATCATGGTTAATCATATGAGATATGATTAAGTAATTGATATATGATATCAATTGAGAAAATTGGTCAAAATATTTAAATAAGATTTAAATATTGAAATTATGAATGCAGATTCATAATCAGAGGCATGGAGTGGAACATTTAAATAATTTCAAAAATCCACATTTTGACACTTAACCATGACATGCATGAGTGGAGTGTGTGTTGTAAGCTTTTGGTAAACTTAGACATGCATTTTGACACTTAGTCATGCCATGCATGAGTGAAATATGTGTTTTAAGCTTTTAGTGAACTTAGATATACAAGAGTTGCATGTAATTTTGCCTATTTAAGAAGACCTTTGTTCAAACATTTTTTTTTCTTGGAACCTTTTGTCATTTTGATGGTTTTGAAAAGCTTACATAGCTTCATTTATCTCCATATGTCTCTCAAAATTCCCTTCCCTAAAAGTGTCCCACCATTCTATTCCAAGACTTGAGAATAGCTAGAAAGATCTCTTGGTGGTGATCATTGTAGCTATTTGAAGAAGTTTGAAAAGCTACAAAGGTATGTAATTGTCTCTCCCTTTCTCTAATCATCATAATGTATGATCATGGATATTTAAATCTAGGCTGGAATATGCATCTAGATTCTTATTTCGATCTTTGCTCGTTTCCGCTGCGCATGTATGTATTTTATTCCATCACATTACTATTTCAACTCCTAAAATGAGTGGAGTGGTAAGTATTAAAATAAAATAAAAATAAACTCCTAATTTGTAATGAGTAAATCTACAAATGAAAGGTGAGCAAGCTATACAAACCCAACATCATAAAACCCCTGTTTAGTATTAAGAATATTGAACTAAAAAATAGATTTTAAGAGCTAAACTTAAAAAGACAAAATTTTGAAATGTGGAGAATAGAGGGAAATTGATGACCAAGTTAATGAAAATAATTAACACTACAGGAGTCAGAAAAAATTCTTTATTATTAAAAATGATAAAAATAGAGACATATGCAAAACCGTATGCATTTATTTATTTTATTTACAAACCCAATGAATGATGTGTACACCTTGAACTTTGAAGAAATCAACTTTGAGGACAAATAAAATGTTTTATTTTATATTATTCTAAAATGAATTCATGTTTGACTTGAATATAATACTTTGATTATTTAGTGTCTGTTGTAAAATTGACGATTGAAATGAGGCAAAGTCGGGGAAATAAAATAAACAAAACAATTAAAATAATAAAAGAAATTCAAAATGGCATTTCCAGGAGCACCTTTCAAATAACATAGAATATGTTCCAATGCGGCCCAATGGTCAGTCGTAGGAGAACTCGTAAACTGACTCATAATACTGACTGGATAAGCTATGTCAGGCCTAGTAACTGTAAGGTAATTCAGCTTCCTTACTAATCTCCTATACTTCTGAGGATCTTTCAACAACTCCCATTCTTTTGTAAGTTGTAAATTAGACATTATTGGAGTACTACGTGGCTTAGCAGCTGAGGGCTCATTTGGTAACGATCTCGTTTCCTGTTTCTCGTTTCTCGTTTCTTGTTTCTTGTTTCTATTTTTTTTAAATTAGAATAGGAATATGTTTGGTAATCATTTATGTTTCTATTTTCTTGAAAAGAAAGAAATAGAAACAAAAATTTGTTTGATAACTATTTCCTGTTTCTTGTTTCTATTTTTTTTTTTTTACAACAACTTGTAGGGGTGGAATTTGAACCTACTACAATCTATTGACCGAGATTTTATACCTTACTCAGGTTAGCTAATTTTCATTTTTAGTTAAATAAAATTTAGTAAATATAATATAAAAAGATATAACATAGACTCGAAGAATAATATTTATTAAAGAAAATATAATTTAGAATATAAATTTATTTGATATAAACGTATCCATTATTAGCTTAAATAAAGAATAAAGTTTCAAAATATTTATAATTTAAAAAATAGAAATTTTTTTGTTTAATAAAATATAATTGCTTTTAATAAAGAATAAATTATCAAAATATTTTAAGTAAAAATATAAAACAAAAATAAAAAGCAAATTTATAGTTTATTAAAAAATATAATTTACAATATAAACTGAAATAAAAGTATAAATTATTAGTTTAAATAAAGAATAAAATTTTAAAATATTTTAATTTTAAAAATATAATTTGTTTTGTTTAACAAAATACAATAGTTTTCCATCAAAATAAAATTTGAAAACATTTGAGATTAAAAAAATATAAAATATAAAAAAAGAAACAAAAAAAAAAGTATTTTGCATCCAATCRAGTTCAAACCCTATTGCTCTTATTCAATTAAGGTCATATGCACCACCAAACCATTGATGGTTTTATTAAAATTTGTGACAAATATATTATTTAATCTCAAATAGCACCTTGACACAAAATAAAGAAACAAAAATGGCAAAAAGGAAACTACTTTTCATAGTTTCCAAAAATTGGTCCCCTTTTCGGAAACGTTTCTCAAAATTTAGAAACGGGATTGGTTACCAAACATGTCTGTTTCTCAGAAACAGGAAACGAGAACGTTACCAAATGAGACCTAATTTTCCTGTTTCAATTAACAAGTCAAGTACATACTTTCTTTGTGGTAAAAGGATCCCCTTCTTGCTCCTTATTACCTCAATTCCTAAGAAGTATTTCAACATTCCCAAATATTTAGTATGAAATTAACTATTTAGAAAAGATTTGAGTGATAGGATGTCTGATGTATCATTACCAGTAATCATATTATCATCAACATATACAACTAATAAGATAATACCAGACTCAGATCTTTTATAAAAAATAGAATGATTTGACTTGCTCTTCTTCATTCCAAAATTCTCAATCACCTAACTGAATTTTTCATACCCTGCTCGCGGACTTTGTTTCAACCTATATAAAAGGATTTACGAAGGCGACATACCTTTCCATTCTCCCCTTGAGCAACAAAACCTAGTGGTTGCTCTATATACACTTCTTCTTGAAGATAACCATGGAGGAATGCATTTTTAATATCAAGCTGATGCAAGGGCCAATGATGAATAGATGCCAAGGAAATGAATAACCTGACAGAAGCCAATTTAGCAACCGGAGAAAAAGTATCAGAATAATCAATGTCGTAAGTCTGCGCATATCCTTTAGCAACAAGGCGAGCTTCCAAACAGACAATTGATCCATCCGGATGAACTTTAACAGCAAACACCCATTTACAACCGATTGGTTTCTTTTCTGTAGGAAGAGACACTAAATATCAAGTACCATTGTCATCTAAGGCAGTCATCTTCTCCAACATAGCAGCCCGCCAACCAAGATGAGACAAAGTTTCATGTACAGTTTTATGAATAGATACAGACTCAAGGGATGCAATAAACGAACAAGTAGGTGATGATAAATGATTATATGAAACAAAAAAAGAAACAGGATAAGTACCTTATGCTTACCTTTTCGAAGGGCAATAGAAGGTCATCACTCGTTCTTGGATCCACAGGCAAAGAAGCTGCTGGTATAGGGCATGAGTCTGTAGGATGTTGCCGACGAGAATAAACTTGAGTAATAGTGGGGAGAGAAGGATCAGGTGCAGAGGGAGATGTATTGCTAGGAAGCTCTTCAGTAGAAGTAGAGACTATAGAATAGACAAGAAAGTTATCATCTTCCTGTGACTGCTCCCCCTGACTGGTACTCAAGGACGATGAAAAATGAGTATCTTCAAAGAACGTAACGTCAGGAGAGACAAGATATCTATTGAGATCAGGACAATAACATCGATACCCTTTTGAACACGAGTGTAACTAATGAAAATGCATTTCAATGACTTAGAATCTAATTTGGTGAGCTGGGGGCGAACATCTGGAACGAAACAAGTGCAACTAAATATTTTAGGTTTAATAGGAAATAAAGTTTGTGTAAGACACAAAGTACGATAAGGTATTTCACCCTTAAAGACTGATGAAGACATGCGATTAATCAAGAAGCAAGTCGTCGAAACAGCATCAGCTAAAAAGTATTTTGGAACATGCATTTGAAACATTAAGGCCCTTGCTGTTTCGAGAAGATGTCTATTTTTCCTTTATGCAACTCCATTTTGAGACGGAGTATCAACACACGAGGATTGATGAATAATACCATGTTCACTTAAATAGGAGCCAAGAGCACCAGAAAAATAGTCTTTAGCATTATCACTCCGTAGGACTTTAAGAGAGCCACCAAACTGAGTTCGAATTTCAGCATGAAAGTTACGAAAATGAGAAAGTAACTCAAAACGATGTTTCATCAAATATAACCAAGTTACACGAGAGAAATCATCGACAAAAGTAACAAAATACCGAAATCCATTTTTGGACTCAATAGGACAAGGACCCCAAACATCAGAATGCACTAATTCAAAGAGAGCATTAACTTGTGTATTAACTTTAGGATACGAACTGAGACGATGAAACTTAGCAAATTGACATGACTCATAGTCTAAAGAATGCAAACTATGAAATTGAGGACTAAGACTCTTTAACACGGAGAGAGATGGATGACCCAAACGACAATGTTCTTCAAAAGGAGTTGGCACTCGAGTGCAAACAGTGGCTGTAGGTATTTTTGTATCAAACGTGTAGAGACCTTAGATTCACGCCCTTTACCAATAGTCTTCTTTATTGTAAGATCCTGAAATAAGTAATAACCAGGAAATAATAAGACACAACAATTGAGATCACGAGTAAGTTTACTGACAGAGATCAAATTAAAATAAAATTGTGGAAAATTTAAAACAAAGGTCAATGAAAGAGTTTTGGAGAGATGAACTGTGCAAATTGGGGTTACCTGACATATCATTTGTAGCACTAGAGTCAATGACCCATTTCGACGCGGAGGAAATAAGACATTTATTGGTATTACCTGAATCAGCAATAACAGTAATTGGATTATAAGATGATGCCATCAATGACTCTTGATACTGTTGGAATTTAGCAAACTCTTCCGCAGAATTCGTTACCATTAATTTCTTCTCGATCATAACTTCAACAATATGGACACAAACAAAAAACTGCAGTGAAACAGACTAAACCAAATCTGAAAGAGGAAAGGGAATCGAACAAAACCAATTGAATAGAGCCAAGTGAACCAAACCAATTGAATCGAAACAAACCGGTATAAATCAGACCAAACTGAATCGGAATGTGATGAACAAGACCGAACCAAACCTGAACTGGATGAACCAAATCGAACCGGCCTAACCAATTGTTGCACAATTACAACCCTAGCAAAATAAAGGTTGCGAGGAAGACACCACGACAAATCCACAACGCACGGCAACTAATGGCAGACGACGGCGGCTGACGGTGAGGCATGATGGCGGACGGTGAAGCGCAGTGAAAGACGGCAATGGACGACGATGGGCGGCGACGAATACCCACGAACCAAGAATCTGAGAATGCGTTCGTCGGAGGCGGCGACAACGACGAGCGGCGTTGATAGTGACGATCGGTGACGACGACAGTAGCAGTGGCGACGACAGCGACAGATGAGGATACTAATGAACAGTTGCAAGAAAGTGCTCCAAACTTCAAACCCTAATGGGCACAAAACACCCTAATGGGTGAAAAAAAGAATGTAGAGAAAATCTAGGTCTCTGATACGATGTAGAAACTAAGGTATGAGAGAACCAGATAGATCTTATTCTCATTACTGAAGTCTATATATAGACAAATATACAAGGTTGACCTAATCCTAGAAGGGAAAGGTAAAGGACAAATGAATACGTATTATTGACAAGAATGTAAAATATACTAATATATATTCTAATAATAAGCATGCTAAGCTGTAATAATTTGCTTCTTGTGTTAAACTAACATGTTTTTATTTCCTTCTTTTCAATTACTTTCATGATTGTTTAGTTGTATTTTGTAATCTAGATAGGGATTACTTAACAAAATAAAACAAGCGCAAACATAGCATTTCTGTAAAAATTGTGCAAGATCATGTAGCCCATCCGATGGTAATTCCAATGTCCATGGACCAACAGAAGAGGAACCAAACATCTAAATTGCCCCACGGCGAAATTCGATGGCATGACAGCTTGCTGACCCTTCCCACCATTGATACCAACGTCTGAGATTTTTCGAAAAATTGAAGGGATTTTCAAGAGACGCATTTAGCGCTAAGGCTAGATGCGTCTCTTAACAAGCATCTAACTTTTTTTTTTTAATTTTATTTTTAGTTCCTTCACATCTCAACCTAATTTTTATTAAACACCCTAATTAAGATGTTTCTATTAATAAACCTCACTCACATCTCATCTTAGAGATGCATCTAGTCCCATCACGGACGGAATAACGGGTGTCGTAACTCCGTCCGTAAGTCCGTCCGTTGCGCGCTGAATGCGTCTCTTGAAGAGCTTATTTAATAAATTGAAAAAAAAAAACATTTAGCCCATACCATATTTCTCTTCTTTTTTTCCACTATTCATCTTTTCATGCGTTTGTTAAATTCTGTTTCTCTCATATGGTCAAAAAGGAGGAGAAATGGTCATAGGATAGAACGAAAAATGGTCGAAGGAAAATCACTCTCTTGTCTCTCTCAAATTTCGATCTCACCTTTCTGTCTCTCGTAATCTTACCTATCAATCTCGATCTCACCATCTCTCACACTCTTACGATTTATTTCTGTTGCAGTTGTCCATCTACCATCGCTGCTGTTCTTCCACCATGATCGCCCTTCCCTTTCACATCTGACGGTGAGTGAATTTTTCTTTTTTTGGAATTTTGCAATATAGTTAAAAAAAAAACAACCCAACCCAACCTCAGCATGTTTTGTTTCAAATCTGCCCAACATCTCTTGTTTCTGGATCATTTTCGTATTTCTTTGTCTTCATCTAATTAGAAAATTTTCAATATGGGGAATTTTTATTTTATTTTTTGTTTTCTGCTGACTTTTGTGTTTTATTGCTTAGTATTTCTTATAGCAGCCAATCAAAATTATATTGTAAATTTATGAGAGAATTCGTAAACACAAAGACAGACAGACAAAAAAAAAAAGAGAGAAGCAACCCGGTGACCCAACCCAACCCCAACCTGAAAATATAAGGGTTGGGTTGGGTTGTCCAATAAATTTGGTTCTACTGGGTCACTGAAGCAACCAACCCAAAAATTCGGGTTGGTCCAAAAAATCATTCAACCCGACCCAATCCAACTCGTGTACACCCTAGTTTCTCATCAACTATTCTTCATTTCATTTTGTTTCATATATTTGAAGATCATTACGATGTCTTCAAATGACTTACTAGTGTCATGTCTTGTAGAAGATCGATGAGAGGCTGATTCTAATAAAATTTGAAGAGTTTGATAGTGTCATTTTGTATATTTGAATGAGGTCAAATCAAGCTTATCAAAACTTACCGTCGGCATATGTATTTACCTTTTTCATTGTAGATTAATGGTTCCAAATATGCTAGGATTCTATCTGTTTATGGAAGGATATGCACAACAGTGTGTTCTCGATTGTAGCTCGAACTCCGCCTCCGGACCGACCTGAACACTTGGGCGGACCTGCACAAAAAGGTGAGCACTCCGACGATCAAGTCAGTATAGGTCGGATTCCAAGTTTAGTTCGAGGCCAGAAATCGTCGTACCTGATCGGGGAGTGAGGTCCTCTACTTATGGGTGGTAGTCCCGCTAATCTCGTGACGGTTACACCCGGTAACCTCGGGACCGACGGTTACGCCCGATAATCACGCCGCAGACAGTTGCTCACATCAGCCTCTACCGAGCTCCCCGGTAGGTCAGACCTGGGCCAGGTTCACCTCGGCCCTCATACTTAGCATTTGTCGACGTTAGTGGCGGCCATCTCGGCTATCCGAGCTGGGCATGACTCATGAGCAATCTTGGAGCACCAATAGGGGTCCTCCACGCGTCCAGGGTATTCCCTTCCCCAAACACTATCAACGTCAAATTCTCCTAGTTGAGCGTACTGGCTCACAAGATAGAGGAGAAAAGCACACGGTAATTTTCAGTTAGTTTGATGTTTGAATATGGTGTTTGTTACCTTTTCCATTTGAATTTTATCCATTAATAATCTTTTACAAATTACTCCAGTCCTTTGACCATATTTGTGTCAAATAGAGTATTTGTGAATCTAAGAATTTTACTTAAAGCTTGTTAATATCACTAGAAATGGAACTTGTTTTTTGTTGAATCAATTAAACATTTTTAAAATGGATGTGTACGTGGCAGGATTGATGCAACGACAGGTGAGGCTCGCATCCATCCATCTTATTCAGGCTTGTGACCAAGGGGACCAGAATATGTTAGTTGAAAAAAAGTCATAGACGACTAACCTTCTTCCTATAGATGTATTTTTGATCACCACAAATTTTACACGCTATGGAAACACTTCAATACAACATACAAAATGTGAGTTTGTTTAGGAAATATAACCGTTAGCTTAGGAGATGTTGTTTAATTTAGATTTTATAAACAGATGAGTTATAAAAACTTTCATTAATTCGTTTTTTTTGGTTTATGATTTATAAAAGCCAATCTGTAGTTGAAAATGTGAGTTTCATACGTTTGAGTTGTTTATATACTTCAAGATTTCTGTAGCAAATTTTTTATAATGTTTGACAAGAGGTCAATTTCGGCAAGAAGTGTTTTTTCTAGATTTAAGTTTTGCAGATGAAATGGTAGTTAAGGACGGAAGTTCAGCAATTGACTGAGATTGATTGCATGTATTGTGCCCAATTAAGCATTAGTTGAAAATGTATTACTCTTGCATCCGTCTAGTCCTGGAATTCTTGAATTTAGACCACCCCGAATTCTTCGAGTGTGTTTGGGGGTAAAAATACCTGGGACACGTGGAGGACGCTCATTGGTGTTCAAGGAATAAAGTATCCCAGGTCCACCTCGAACCTGCTGAGGAGACTGGGTTCGCCCATCAACAAGGCTAAGTGTAAAAAGCCCCGGTCCGACCTGGAACGGTTTGATCTGCTCAAACCCGACAGGTTTGACGTGAAAAAGGACAAAGGTAAACGTCGGTCGTGAGTACTGTCGGACCCACCACCTATAAATAGAGGGCCTCATTTCCCGCTCAGGTATCGAATCTCACCTCGAACTTAATATTGAGTCCGACCTATACTGACTTGAGCGTCGAAGAATTTGCCCTATTGTGCAGGTTCATTCTTGAGTTCAGGTCAAGCCGGGGACCGGGTTCGAGCTTGGTTCGTTTAACAGCATTGTGCAATTCTTTGCATAAACATTTGACGCCGTCTGTGGGAAGGACAATCTAAGTCATCACGGTCTAAAAAGTGTGAAGAAAGATGGTTCAACCAGCAAACTCAACTAACACGGCCGACCGAAGAGCTCTGGCTGCCAATGATGGCCACCGAGGGAGGTCGAGGCAGAAGTGGTAGAGGGACAGATTCATGAAGGCCTTGGGATCAAGCCTCTCCGCAGTTCGGCACGCATCACCACGCTCGTCCTGCCACCGGCACATCCAAAACCGTCTAAGGCCAATCGCAGCCGAGGTGGTGTCTCGATGAGAACCACTCGAGGACCAGCCCCAGCTCCTACTAAGGAGAATTTCGATGCACTCCAGAAAGAAATGGAGGCAATGCGCACTCAGATGCGCACTATGGAAGAGATGTACAACGAGATGGTGCAAGCCGCAGGTGCTGGGTCTCGATCTGAAGACTGGGCGGCACGCGACGAGGTGTGCGAGCAAAGAGGTCTTCACCTC